TCAGTGTGAAACCCATACTTCATATTACACTTAAGAGTGAAATACAATAGTATCCCCATTGAAATCAGGAATAAGTATGAATACCATTATTAATATTCTCCTATAGTAGATAGACAATAGACTAAAACCTGAAAAAAAACCCCAAAAGATACACTTACTCATTTCCCAAAAGAATGAAAGAACAAGCCATTAGAACTATTAATAGAATTCAGCAGTGTTCAAATTCAAACTCGAGGTATAAGAATCAATAGCTTTCCCAAACACAAGCAATCAATGATTAGAAAGTAAAACAAGAAAAAAGAGCCCATTCACAAAAACAATTAAACTATAAAATATCAGTGGGGGGAAAGTGCCTCATAAGAATGTGCAATCTAATGAAGAAAAATTACACTACTGAAGGATATACAAGACCTGAATAAATAGGGAATAGTCCATATTTCTGAGTAGGATAACATATTATAGGGATGCTGATGTTTTCCACATTAAACTATTTTAACTCAATGCAACAACATATAAATTCCCGATAACAGTTCTCACTGAATGCAACAAACTTATTCTATGATATGTCTGGAATTATGAATCTGCTTGAATGGCCATGAACATTTTGAACCAGAAGATTAATGAGTAATGACTTGCTATCAAAACATAAAACAAAATTATACAGTAAAATGGTGTGGGTTTTGCACAGGAAGAGAGATCAACAGAATAGCACAGACCTGTATGAAAATTTTATATTTGATAAAGTAGAATTTCAAATAATCAGGAAAAGGACAAACTATTCAATAAATGAATGGGAACAACTCACTAGCCATTTTGAGAAAAACAGGTGGATCTCAATTTCTCATCTGTGCAGGGTATCTTTGGTTTGTTCCAAAGACAACTTCTGCATCCTTCTGCACCCTGGCATGTGCCCAAGAGGAGAATCTATATGGACTCTACCAGTGGGCTCCACTGTCCTCAGAAGTAGAGCCAGGCCAATGGGGAGAACTGACAGAGAGGCACAGGAAGGGAGTGGGGCTAAGGTCCCTGTGGGGTCAATCTCAGGCTAGTTGCTTTCCTTAACTGAAGGGCTCAGCTCCTGTGCGATGGTGGGCTTCTCTACTCTGTCCCCTGGGTCCCCACTTCCTGCCCTTTCAGGCCTGAGTGGGAAAAGTTTTTTCCACTATTATTTTGCATCTTCCCTGTCCACCTTGCACTGTAGCAGACCCCTGATTAAACTGAACCTTTGGAACCTCCTTTTGAGGGATATTTTCTGTTGACACTTACTGATACCATACCATTCACAACATTAAATTCCAGGAGAATTAAAGGCCTAAATTTATTTGTAAATCTATGAAAATATTAACAATATGGGAAGATACTCATAACTGTGGGTGTAGGAAGATTATTTTTAAACAAAATACAAATCAAATTCATAAGGGAAAGGATGGATGCATTCAATCAAAATAAAAATTTCAAACTTCTAGATGATTCGATACCCATAAGCAAAGTTAAAAGAAAGATGAGGAGAAATATTTGATATTTTTAACAGTATTATCTGTATTGTATAGAGCTCAGTTTTAAATATAAATATTACATATATATAATTACATATTTACATACAAAACAAAAAATTTAATGTATAAACATGTTCTTATGTATCTATACATGTCAATATGTAAACATCAGTTGTTAAAAGACATTGTTAGAAAAATGGACAAGAATATGAACAGGTCATTCACAGAAGAGGAAATAGAAATGTAATAAATATATGAAAAGATTCTTGATACTACTAGTAATCACAAAATGCAAATTAACATCAGATACCATATAAACTATCAGACTGGCAGAGTTTTAGACATTGATAACATCAGAGTTGAGCGAGCAAGGAAAGGCTTTCTTGTTCACAGGCAGGGACAGTGCCTCGGCTGGCACACTTTCCTGAGGGAAATCTGGCAGTGTCTATTGAAATCATAAATGTGCAGCCCTTATGATCCCCCCCTTGGCAACCACCATGGATGAAAATATCTGCTCAAAGAGGTATGTATAAGGATGTTTTTATAGCATTATTTATAATGGTATGAAAGCTGGAAATAATCTAAATGTCCATTAACTGTGGAATCACTAACACACACCCACACTATAGACTATATGCAACAAATTAAGAGAAGAGGTAGTTCTGTACATACTGACCTGGAAATAGCTCTACTACATTTTACTTAGTGAAAACCCATTCAGATGTTTTGTAGATACCATTTATGGAAATTTATATTTCCCACACAAATGAAACTATGTTCTTCTGTATTTACTTAGATGCATATCAACGCACAGCTAAAAGGTGAAAGAACACATACCGATTTGGTACCTATTGCAAGCTTTGGGTGGGAGACTCTGGGGTTTTAAAGAGGCAAAGTCAGGTATTTTTCACTTTTGCAGCATTTTGCATTTTTCTGTATTTCACTATTTTCTATATTATTTGAACTTTTACAGTGTGATGTAATTACATCTTACCTATAAAATTATTTCCTTAGTGAAAACTTGTAGCTTATATTTAATTTCTCCAGAAAAGAAGAAAAGAACATGGGATTATAGAGTTACATGGGTATGTGACTTCAGGAAACGTGCCCAGTTCCCTGAGACCTGTCTTCTCTGTAAAATGGGGTAGATAGTTGTGAAGATTAAATGCGATTAAGTCTGCTAGATGTGCAGCTGGGTTCCTGACACGTAGAAGGGATTAGCTGACCTATTCTCTCTCTTTCATTTGGCCTGTGAAACCCTTGAGGGCCAAGAACATACTTCAGTTGTCTATATATCCTGGATTTCTGGGCAAATATAGAAGCTCAATTACATTTGCTGAAAGAATGAATGACTGAGCAAACCACATTTGTTCATTGTTAATGGATAAACATATGTTCATTGTTAATAAGTAAACAAGAGAAGACTTTCTGGCTTCCACCAGGAAGATCAAATGCTGGTTTGGGAAAACAATAAATCAAACAAAACCAGAGATCTGAGCCAGAGGGAAAAGAGTTTTCAGAGCAGGAAGACTCAGACACGGATCTGATGTTTTCCAACATTGTTCTTCAGAGCTCCAGGCTCTGCGGAGGGATCAGGCTGTCCTGGGCAGGGCTGTGCATACTGGAAGGCGAAGCTGAGAACCTAGGGTTCAGGCTGAGAGACTGAATATATGAACGGACAATGGCCAGGCCACATAGGACAATGACAATTGAACTGACTCCCAAACTCTGAATCAAGTGGCCTGGGAAGCTGAACCACAACTTCTGCAACTGTCAGCCCAAAGAAAGGCAAATATGCCCCCAGACTCATCACTAAGATGTCCTGCTTGTAGTTAGCACACTTCCAGCTTCCCCATGCCAAAACCCTCCAATCAGCAATTGTCCCTTTTTGCCCGGGAGAGCTTTCCTGCCTTTGAGTGTCTGCTGAATGCTAGTGATGGCAGCTGACTCCCTAGCTATACAGCAAGCTCTGAATGAATCACCTCTGCTGGTCTTCATATGCACAAGACCTTCTCCCACATTTCAACTAGATGCTAGATTCATGTAACAAATTGGGGTGTATATATAAGGTTTCATTTAAAAAGTCCTACTAACATTTTTTTTTGAAAAATCACCAATATAGATTAATGCCAACAGCCAAACTTCTCAAGGAATCTGGGGATGGATGCTCAACTTGCATTAAACTAAGAAAGAAACAAGTGATGTCCAGATAGATGACAACAAAGGGAGGCCACACAAAGACAGGGCTGGGTCTGGACAATGGACAGAGGCTTCCGGAGATCTCTGTGGGCTTTTTTCTATAATCCAGACACAATGAGTCCAGAAACTGCAGGGACAGGACTGCCCAGGTGGAATGCCCCTTTATCAGCCTGTCCTTGGGGGTGAGCTGGAGTTAACCACAGTTGTTAGACAAATGAACCAAATACACAAATGAGGCTCTAGGAGAATTTAAAGAAAAGAAATATGGTTGGAAAAGAAAATTCAGCTGCGGCTTGTCTGACCTGGCTGATAATGCAACTACGCCCCATCTCCAAGGGGAAACGGCTTCTTGGATCCTGGGGTTAGAGCCCTGCCCATCTAACCATGATTATTTGCCTGTCTGAAATCTTAAAATTCCCAGTGTCACTCTATATAGTCTTTAAATCTATTTAAAAGAGATTATGGTTATTGTTTCCCAAACTGGTGAATATTAATAGGTATTTGAGCAAAAAAAGGAGTTTTGCAGTCAAATAAGTTTGGGAAATGCTGGTCGAAATCAAGTTAAACAGATCTCATTTTAGCAGGACATTGCAAAACCTTCAATACACTAATATATGCTGTGAATCTTTAAGAAGGGGTTACAATATGCAGCATTTTCTAAACTTATTTAACCAAAGAAATTGTTTTCCTCTCCATCTATTTACACCTCTGTGAACATCATTCTATGACATATCATTTCACAGACACAGGTTTGAGATAAGCTGCCTCTCAGAGGAGAACTATTAGCTGATTAACACCTCTTATAATCTATTGTAATTCACCAAAAGGAATATCTGGAGGTCAGATAGGAAGTGGCTTGCGGGTAATTTTGATGGGAGAAGGAAGAAAATAGGATCATAAAACATAGCTGGAGGCTAATGGAAATGACAGTGGAGTCTCAGGTCAGCCTAGCACAGTTTAAGTATACTAGCTGTTAAATTCTGGATGGAAGAAGCCAAACATTATCCTTACATGGTTTGTAATTTTTGTTAACCAGCCTAGTATCATTATCTCTAGGAAGATAGAGAGTGGCCAGGTATGACTGAACAGTATGAGGTAAAATACAGATTCAGTCGAATAATTCTTTTTATGGCATTTCACCAGGGTTGGTCCACAGTCCCATTTTAGAGTCATGATTAACTGAGGGTCTAAAGGTAATGCAACTTGTCTGATGGCCCAGCAAAGCCAGTTTTCTTTCTGCAAACACACATGACAGGCCGCAGGGAGGGAGAATAAAGTGCTACAAGGATTTCCACGCGCACTTACTTTAGAATCACACAGCCTGTTCCTGCTGGGGGTGCTATCCAAAACACCTGGATCCGTGTCCTCCTCCGTGGGGTGCTTTCAGTGACCGCAACCGGGCAGTTACTCAGAAACTGGGTTTCTTCTTCATCTATGATCTATGGAAACCAGTGGAAAATCAACATATTAAAATGCAATGTCACTTTGGAGAGCTCTTAAGCTTCTGCATTGACACTTCCTTAATTTTATTTTTAAACCTGTCATTTTGTGTTAACAGCTCTCTATCCCCAGACACCAGAATAGTGCCTGGCATAGGATCCCAGTCAATGCTAGTTGAATTAACATGAGGGCAAAGTGTTGGCACATGTTCACTGTTCTCTGGGACTTGGAGCTTGTGTCAGCATTTTGAGCAACAGACCACTAGGTGATGATCTTGCTCATCTCACTAGGACAACCTGTGTTCCACTTCAGGGGGAGAGAGAGGATGGGGAAAGAATGATCCAAAGCAAACATTCTCTAAATAGATAACTTTATAATTCAGCTACAACTTTATAATTTGAAATAAAAATGTTAAAAGAAAACACCCTTTTGGAGGAAGTATACCAGAGTACATGAAGTCTCCCATCTTCACAGCACTATTTACTCACGCAGTCTCTACTTTCTTAATTAGGACATTGTATTGGTCTCCTCTCAAGTTACCCATCAACGTTTCTTCTGACACTGCAAAAAGCTGGTAACCGTTCCCCTTCCCCAACAACGTTCCAGTATTTCTCCTGCTTGCTTCTGAGTCTGCTGCCAGTACTTGCCTATCCTCTGGTAGTATCATAAGGCTACTGGATCTGGAATGATCTTTTGGGGCAAATGATCTAAATCCAATTGGTCTTAAATGCCAACTCCAATTGACTGGTAGTAGCTCTGTCATGCATTAATAACATTAATAGATAATATCTATTCAATGTTTAGTGTGTGCTGGAGGCACTAAATTAAGTGGTTTATCTGAATTATTCATTTAATCTTCAAATATAATTTAAGGAGACCATTATAGCCATATTGTATTTATTTTATTTTTAAAATTCCTCTTTAGGACAGCAGGTAACAAAAATTAAGTCATTTGAACTCCTTACTTTCATTGCTGGACAAAGAAAAGACAATCTTATATTACATTTTGTTTATCCTACCCCCTTTTCCCTTCTCTGTTTAGCTCCTGCTTCTAAATATTTAACATATGTCCTTTGAGTGTGTGTGTATGTATATGTGTGTTATATATGTATATATAATACATGTTATATATAATTTACTTGAAGTTAGATATATTTTTTTGTGTATAACTTAATGTTTCTTTCACTTAACCTTATGATTTTAAGATACAGGTTTCTCCCTGTAGTAGAAAAAGATTTCTTCCTATAGTATCTGAAGGTAGAGCATTCCTATGAAAACTTTCATAAGCCCAAATGCCATAAAATGAAGAAGCAATTACCATTAATTTACATGGAAAAAATTTCAAGTGTTCCAAGGCCCCCAAAATAACCTCCCTTAAGGTATCTTTTCTGATACCTTAAGACACACCAGGCAAATCAAGATAAAGCCTGGATGCTCAAAGACACACTTCAAAGCTATGGCAGCTTGATGCTGAGATTCTGAGTGTAGTTACTGGGGAAGGAGCACTGCTTGGAGTGTGTGCTGCCTCTGTAACAGCTATAGAACATACAAAAGTGCATGTTATTAAAGTCCTCTTTGGATTTCTTTTGGTTAGTTAGAACAGGTACCAAAGCAGGTCTTTTGTAAAAGCAAAGAAGCCAAATGTTGAACTTTTGAAAAGTGGGGGATGCTCTATGTCAATGTTACTCTATGTGAATGTAACTCATTGCTCCTGACTGCTGCCTAATATTCCAATGCACAGACCACGTTTTACTTATCCATTCTCCCAGTGAGGGGCACTTGGCCAACTGTCAGCTCTTTGCTTCCACAAACATGGCTGCAATGCAAGTCCTCATGCTGCTCTCTTTGTGAATTCACATGAGAGGTTCTCAGCAATATCACAATGTAGGGGCATTGCTGGGTTGTTGGGGTGTAGGTATTTTAATCATGTTAATTACACCTAGTACTGCCTGATTGTTCTGCAGAATGGCTAAACCTACTTTTATTCTATTAGCTATGGACAAATGTTCCCATTTACCCATGTCTTTATCAGCATTTGTGATTACTGGCTTTGTTCACTGTTTCCAATCTGATGGATATAAAGTAGTATCTTGCTTTAATTTAACAAATTTGAGCACTCTTCTTAGATTTCTCCTTCTGTGAATTGCTTATTCAGAATCTTTGCCAGTGGATATTCCTCTTTTTCTTGCTTATTTGTAGGACTTTCTAGATATGAATCCCTCATCATTTGCAAGTATCTTTCTGTCTCCCAGAGGTTCTTTTCCTCCTTGTAATTCTTCTCACAGAAATAACTTTCATCTAGTCAAATTCATCCATTTCTAGCACTTGTACTTTTGTGGTCTCTCCTAGAAAACTGTGATCACAAAGATATTCTCCAGTATTTTTTCCATCAGCTTTATAATTTTACCTCTCACATTTAGGCCTTCAATCCATTTAGGGGTTTGTTTTTTTTTAGTATGATAGAGTAGGGATCCAGCTCCACACTGTGAGCTACTTAAAAAAATAAATACTTTTTTTGGAGCAGTTTTAGGTTCATAGTAAAATCAAGCAGAAAGAACAGAGAGTTTCCATATACTTCCTGTTCCCACACATGAACAACCTTCCCTATTATCTACATCCAGCATCAGAGTGGTACATTTGTTATACTTGATGAACCTATACTGACCCATCATCACTATCCAAACTCCACAGTTTACATTACAGTTCACTTTTAGTATGTATTCTATGGGTTTTGACCAATCTATACTGACCATTGTATCCACCATTGTAATACTGTAGTATCATATTGAATAGTTTCATTGCCTTAGACATCCTCTGCTCTGCCTATTCATTCCTTCCTATGCCCAGCCCCTGGCAATCATCAATCCTCTGTTACAATTGCTTTTTAGTTCCTAGAAGTTTTTGTTGATTCTTTCAGATTTTCCTGCATAGGCAATCATGTCATCTGTGAACAAAGACAGTTTTATTGCTTCCTTCCCAATCTGCATACCTTTTATTTCCTTTTCTTGTCTTATTGCATTGTTTAGGATTTCTAGTATGATGTTGAACAGGAGTGGTGAGAAGGAACATCCTTGCCTTGTGTTTTATCTTATCAACAAAGCTTCAAGTTTCTTACCAGTAAGTATGATGTTAGGTGTAGGGATTTTTTTTTTGTTTTCTGTTTTTTTTAGCTGCTCTTTATCAAGTTGAAGACATTCCTCTCTATTCCTAGTTTGCTGAGGATTTTTATCAGACTATGTATTGCATTTTGTCAAATGCCTTTCTGCATTGATTGATATGATCATATGAGTTTTCTTTTTTAACCTATTGATGTTTTGGGTGTCATTAATTGATTTTCAAATATTGAACCAGCTTTGCATACTTCAGATAAATCCCTCTTGATTATAATGTATATTCTTTTTATGTATTGTTGGATTTGATTTGCTAATATTTTGTTGAGGAATTTTGCATCTATGTTCATGAGAGTTATTGGTCTGCAGTTTTCTTTTGCAAATGTCTGTCTGGTTTTAGTGTTAGGTAATGCAGGCATCATAGAATTAGTTAGGAAGCTGGAAATCAATGTAATTTCTTCCTCAAATGTTTGGTAGAATTCACCAGTGAACCCATTCAGGTATGTTGTTGTTTTGTAAGGTTATTAATTATTAATTCAATTATTCAGGTATGTTGTTGTTTTGGAAGGTTATTAATTATTAATTCAATTATTTAATTAAATTATTAATGATTTAATATAGATCTATTTTGGTTGTATATTTCTTCTTGGGTGAGTTTTGGTGGACTGTATCTTTCATCAAATTGGTCCATTTCATCTGTCATCAAATTTGTGGGCACAGAGTTGTTCATAACACTTTATTATTCCATTAGTGTCCCTGAGATCCATAGTAATGTCCCTTCTTTTGTTTCTGAGTAATTTGTGTCTTTTTTTCCTTAGCATGGCTGGGGTCTTATCAATTTTATTGATGTTTCTGTTTTGTTGATTATATTAATTTCTTGTTTTCTATTTCATTGATCTCTCATTTTTATTATTTCTTTTTTTCTGTTTACTTTGGATGTAATTTGCTTTTCTTTTTCTAGTTTCCTAAGGTAGAAGTTTGGATCGTTAATTTTAGATCTTTCTTCTTTTTTAATATATACATTCAATGCTATACATTTCCCTTAAGCACTGGTTTCACTGTATCCCACAAATAAGTTGTATTTTTATTTTCATTTAGTTCAAAATATTTTTAAATTTCTTTGAAATTTCTTCTTTGACCCTTGTGCTTATTAGAAATATGTTATTTAATCTTCAAGTATTTGGGAATTTTTCCAGTTATTTCTCTGTTACTGACTTCTAGTTTAATTCTATTGTATTCTGAGAGTAAAAGTATATGATTTGTATTCTTTTGTATTTTTTAAGGCATATTTTATGACCTAGAATGCGGTCTATCTTGGTGAATGTTCCATGTGAACTTGAGAAATATGTGTAATCTGTTTTTGGATGAAGTAGTCTATAGATGTTAATTATATCCAGTTGATTGATGGTGCTGTTGAGTTTAACTATGTTCTTACTAATTTTCTGCCTGCGGGATCTGTCCATTTCTGATAAGAGTGGCATTGAAGTCTCCAACTATGATAGTGGACTCATCTATTTCTCCATGCAGTTCTATTAGTTTTCACTGCACATATTTTGACACTCTGTTGTTAGGCACATACATATTAAAGATTATTACATTTTCTTGGAGTATTGACTCCTTTGCCATTATGTAATGCCCCTCTTTACTCCTGATGACTTCTCTTGCTCTTGCATGTGCTCTGTCTGAAATTAATAGAGCTATTCCACCTTTATGATTAGTGGTACAGTGTATATCTTTCTGTCATTCTGCTTTTTTTATATTTTTATATTTGTCTTATAGACAACAAATAAGGATGTTTTCAATTCACTCTGGCATTCTGTCATTTGACTGGTGTATTTAGGTAATTGATGTTTCATGTGATTATTGATATAATTGGATTAATATTTACC